TCTCAAGCCATAGGACTTTCATCTTTGATCCAAACACAATCTGAGTTATATAAAAGAATATATATCTTGGCTCTTCCTAGCTTCATAATGGGAATGAATTAAGTTTTTGAAGCTCCAAAAAGCCCATCTATCCATCAAAAAAGGACTACTATTACTACTTTCGTGTAGCTAATGGAAATCATTATGCAGTTGCCAGAGGTAAAAAGCTAAAATTAGGCTATAAACGAACTACAGCACGTTCTCAGGAATTCAACGTCACCACATTGTTATCATTTTCACGTCCTGCGCCACGTTGTTTAAATAGCAAATGCATCTGTGCGCACATGGGCTGCTGGTCCAAGTTTTTTTAAAAGTGAACTAAGTGTTGCTTGCAATTTTCGTCATGTAAATAGCGAATCCGCCATTGGCTTTTAAAGGGAATGTGAGAGGGAAATTCAGGATTTTCTTTTTTTTTGAACGTTACGCCCAAAACACACCTACCTATTAGGGACAACACTTTTAGACCATGCACCGGGAGCGCCGACCATTTTTCCCGTCGTTAAACTAGCAAAAGTGGATTCGGACTCGTCTTTGTGCGTTTTATACCATGCGCTTACATTGTTAAAATAGGGCCCATAGCATCAGCAAGCTGGCGTAAGCTCTAAGGGATCACTACACAATCTCATTATCCTCACACTAATGGCCACACTGAGTCCATGATCTCAGTGTTACAGACCTCAGCTGTATTACTGCTTGCGAAACAGTCCAGGTTTTATTCAGCTGTTAGCGACTTTCTGGATTTACAGGAACTGAAATTAATTTCCTGTGTGCGTTTGCGAGCACAAGAGCTGCTGTCATCATGGAGGTCAACACTAGACACTCATACACACGTTAACAATACAGGACCCGGGGTCAAACGTTCTTATAGCGTCCTAATGAATGCAGTTCATACCAACAACAAGAGGGATAAATACACACACACACACACCCTCAAAAGTTTGGTGTCGTTTGGTTTTTGCTCACCAGGGCTGCCTTTATGCGTTAAATAATTTTATATTTTAAAATGTAATTTACATGATCCTTCAGAAATCCTTCTAATATGCTGATTTACTGCTCAAGAAACATTTATTTTCAGTGTTGAATACAGAAGTGCTACTTAATATTGTTGTTATTTCAGGATATATATTTGGAATAACATTTATTAAGTAGGTTGAAGATTCATAAGGGCGTGTTATACTAAATTACAAAACAAAAAAATCCTCATTTTTTCTTCTCCTATGAAATAATGTTCCTTTTCAAATTACGTCATCAAGGACTCTTAAAGGAGTAGTTCACTTTTAATAAACCTTTTGCTGATAATTTACTCACCCCCATGTCATCCAAGATGTCCATGTCTTTCTTTCTTCAGTCGAAAAGAAATTAAGGTTTTTGATGAAAACATTCCAGGATTTTTCTCCATATAATGGACTTCAATGGGAACCAAACGGTTCAAGGTCCAAATGAGAGTTTCAGTGCATCTTCAAAGGGCTTTAAACGACACCAGACGATGAATAAGGGTCTTGTCTAGGACCCTTCGAGAACAGATTTGTTAATTTTGATGAACAAGTTCGAACAGGAGAGTCACGAACACGCGTCACAGAACTGAGCAAGGCGAGCATTTGTGCTTATAAAACTTAAACTTCTTTTATTTATTTTTTAAATGGCCGATCGTTACTAAGACCCTTATTCATCGTCTGGTGTCGTTTAAAGCCCTTTGAAGCTGCACTGAAACTCTCATTTGGACCTTGAACCGTTTGGTTCCCATTGAAGTCCATTTATGGAGAAAAATCCTGGAATATTTTCATCAAAAACCTTAATTTCTTTTCGACTGAAGAAAGAAAGACATGGACATCTTGGATGACATGGGGGTGAGTAAATTATCAGCATATTTTTTTTAAAGTGAACTACTCCTTTAAGTTTCAACCAAGGTTTGGTGGTGTTTCAAACCTTTTTTTAAGTTCAATCAATGGATACAAAGTCCCATCCTATAGGGTTTTCTCATGAATATATTCTATTTCACTCTAAGAAGTGAATATAGTTTCATATTACCTCAAGCAAGTTTTCCACACACACACACATCACAGGCTATTGTTCTGTATGTCCATGAATCTAAAGCACTTGTAGCAAAGATAAAATCTTTTTTTTTTCTTGAGCACGGAGAAAAGCGTCAAAAGTGTCTTATAGAGCGGACAAGTGTTAAGTGCTCTGCTCGATGGCCGTGGTTCACAGAAGTGGGATCTGAACCTCAATCATCTGATGTACTTGAGCTCTAAACACTAAGAGTGAGAAAATGAGTGTGAATGTGCATTTCTGAGAGCTCACGATGTGTTGATGCGTTTGTGCGCATGTATAGTCCTACTTTATGGTCCCCAGGGTGGGTCAAAGCAGCAGGTGACAGGTAAAAACCCGGTCAGGAGGAAATGCATTTTTCATTTGGCCTGATTTTCTCTATGATCTCGACCCAGAATACACTCTGCAGTAAAGTAGCACTGTATCAATTAAACATGCAGGACAAGGACATGGAGAGTTCAGTGCACTTTTTAACCTGAGGTCAGCAGAGGTTTAACATGAGTTCAGTGCACTTTTCAACATGCTTCATTGATCTTCACTTATGAAGAGAAGCCTTGCTGTGACATCCCAAGGGTCAATATTGCTGAACAGACGATCCCAAATCAGTGGTGCTTGCGAAGGCACGTTTTTTCCAAACGCAGAACCCACGGATGAAACTCGTACGATACATGATAGACATAAATGGGACCTCAAACCATGTAGGAAGTTGTGTTGTTAATTTTGTGATCATTTGACAAATTAAAAATTGAAAATTCTGTCAGTATTTACTCTCCCTCATGTCGTTCCAAACCGATAAGACTCGCTCATCTTCAGAACACAATGAAGATCTTTTTGATGAAATCTGAGAGGTTTCTTTCTCTCTCTCCATTGACAGCCGCACAACTACATTTTGATGCTTCAAAAAGATTATAAAGAGAAATCCATATGAATTGAGTGGTTAGTCCAAATTTTCCGGAGACACGATCTCTTTATATATCGATTGAATTTAGACTTTTATTCACATATAAACATTCATCAGCTAAACGGAAGCTCAAGCATGTTCACTTGACGTGCGAGAACCAATGAGGTTCATTCTCATGTTACGCATCACGTTTGAGCTTCAGCAAGAACCAATGAGGTTCATTTTCGTGTTACGCATCACGTCAAATGCAGTCTTGGTGATTCTTAAAGCTACACGGTCTAACTCTTTTAGTTTATTCTTCTTAGGTCTTTAAAAAATATGTGCTCATTAATGTATATTTACTTCGTTCAAGTAGTAAAGTATTCTCGTGAGTGTATAATATGCCATTGAAAATACATACAGGTAAGGGTTTCTAATGTCGGTCGCCATGTTGCCCCTCCATCTTGAATGTACATTAGCCAAAAAGGGACATACCCGTTAATTCAAGCTTCGCCTTTCGCGTTTACGTTTGAGTTAACACTCATGGACGAGGTCGAACTGGAAGCCATGTTAATCTTGGACTACATTGGCCCCCGTAGGAGTTAAAACGAAATCGGAATTGAGAGGAACAGAAACTAATATTCACTGGATGGTCATATACAACCCGATCTCACGACCAAGTCGTACGAATTCGACGAATGATTAAAGGACAACTCCGGCGCTAAATGAACCTTTGGTCTAATTACACATTGTTACCTAGTCAACCGTTATCTGAGATTTGTTTTCATGATTGCCGAATGTAAATAGTTTTATCTCTAAAAACAGTTTAGCCTATAACGCTAGTATAATGCTGGTATATAGGGCATGGAGTAATGACAAATAAAAATCGCTTGTTATTAACACTAACAAGGCTCAAAATAGCCCCACAGTAACACGACAGCATAACAAGGGTCCCTACATTCAAACCGAAGCATTGAGAACTTTGTCAGTGTCCATACAGTTTAATAAGCAGATATTTTATACATACAGTCAACTTCGCGAATACAGGAAGAAGCCATCTTGGAAAAATAGTCTCGACCAGTCGATCTACGAACGCCGATCCAAGTGCGCTGGTGAGATGTGAAGGTGATGAGGTGAGCGCGAACAGTAGTCTATGTGTACATATTGAAGAGAAGCAAACGGTTTGTGTTTGTGTTTCTTCTGAAAACAACGGACCATTTGAGATTCTGCACAGTTCAGCACACTTGGATCGGCACTCGTAGATCGACTGGTCGAGACTATTTTTCCAAGATGGCTTCTTCCTGTATTCGCGAAGTTGACTGTGTCTATAAAATATCTGCTTATTAAACTGTATGGACACTGACAAAGTTCTCAATGCTTCGGTTTGAATGTAGGGACCCTTGTTATGCTGTCGTGTTGGTGTGGGGCTATTTTGAGCCTTGTTAGTGGTAATAACAAGCGATTTTTATTTGTCATTACTCCATGCCCTATATACTAGCATTATACTAGCGTTATAGGCTAAACTGTTTTTAGAGATAAAACTATTTACATTCGGCAATCATGAAAACAAATCTCAGATAACGGTTGACTAGGTAGCAATGTGTAATTAGACCAAAGGTTCATTTTGCGCCGGAGTTGTCCTTTAAATAGTGGCTAAATCGTAACAATTCATATGACCTCACTCGTACGAATTTTTGCTAACTCGTACATATTTTACGAATTGGCCAACTCGTATGAATTCATACGAATGACCTACCCCTTACCCCGCCCCTAAACCTAACCATCACGTGGGTTTAGACAAATCGTACAAATTCGTACGAGTGAGGTCGTACGAATTAGACACTTTTTATTCATTCGTCGAATTTATACGCATTGGTCGTGAGATAGTGTTGTCATATACCTTTTCACCGCTAGATGGTGGTAAAAATCACGCAGTGTAGCTTTAACGAGTTCGAAACCGTTAGTGTCTAACAAATTGCTTCCTCTGAAAAGTAGTGTGGATATATTCAAAAACTTCGCTCTTGTTTCACAGGTAAAAGTGTGGTTTCAAAACCGCCGCACCAAACAGAAGAAGGACCAGACCAAGGACACGGACAAGCGCTCGTCGTCCACTTCCGAATCCCTCGCCACGTGCAACATCCTACGTCTCCTGGAGCAAGGCCGCCTCCTGTCTCCCCCAAACCCTTTGCTGGCTCACACGCACCCCGGCAATGGCTCTCTACTGGCCAGCCCGTCCGTGTCCACCTCCTCGGGGGTGAGTAGCACCACCACGGCTCCCGGGTCGGGCAACGGTGGGACGTTCGGACTGTCGCTGTCTTCTTTAGGTGGGACTCCACCTTCACCTCGTCTGGGAGTGCCACCACCCTCACTTTGCTTTACCATGCCTCTCCTGGGCGGCACCCATCACGAACTCCCATCGGGATACGGGTGCGGATCCTCAGCGTTCGAGCCCTACATGAGGATTGAGCGGAAGGAAGGTGAGTTAGGCGGGAAGAAGACGGTTTCCTAAAAGCGTTCGCCTACCTACTGGTACCTTCCCCAACTCAACCTGTCTCAGGGGTCTCACCTGTGCCGCGAACAGCCGGTCGGATGGAGCCGAGGTTTGCAAACTGACAGAAAGAGATGGAACGACGCAGTGGCCTCTCTAGCGCTAGTGCCTACAACCAAATTTAGGCCAGTCGGACTCCATCATTCGGTAAGGAGGAGCGTTTGGGATGAAGCCTGTAATTAAGCATCGCTGTGTTCGGTGAATTTTGTCGTCCACAGGTTTATTTTCATTTTTGCATTACATGTGTGGTGACGAAAGCCTCAGACCTATAAGGCCCTTTCACACCAAGAACGAAAACTATTGCGATAGCTATATTAGCGTCCGCACGATTACGATCTGTTTATTATAAACGCGTTGCAGTTTTGTCGTCTGCCGCTTTAAATGCTCGAGCTTTATAAGGCAGGGTGGAATCTGATTGGCTGTCAATGTTTTTATGAATCAGTCTGGAAGTGATTCCAACAATATCGCTTTCCTTTGCCGAAATTGCTATAGTTATGGTGTGTGCCATGCTATTCTTTTATATTTATAATGATTTTAAAACTATCATTATAGTTATCATTCTTAGTGTGAACTGGCCTTTTTTGTTTGTGAATGATGGAAAACTCTGTAAATGTAACTGTAACTAAGGCAAAATTATTTCGAAGGTTTGTTTCCAAATGGGTGTTTTAAAAAAAAAAAAAAGAAAAAAAATGGACGAAAAAAAGACATTGATCAACAGTGGTACGTTTTTATGCTGCTCTAAATTAATAGGCTAGAGGAGCTTCTTGTCGATATAAATGTGTGTCTGTATGAAAGTATGAGAATGAGAGAATTATCTGAGTGAATAACAATAACAAGGCACTGACAAATTTTTGTGGTATTTACTTCATATTGGACCTTGGTGATGGTAACATTGAGAGTTCAATGGACAGAATTATAATTACACTAATTGCATACAATTTAAGTGTGTGAAAAATTAATAATAGCATCAACATGCAATGCATAATCGCACTGCACACCCTTTCAAAATATTTCCTCTTCGTAACACATGAAATTCTCAGTTGAGAGTGTTAGCGATGCCCAAATCCACTGGCTCAACATTACATTCCCCCAAGTTAAAATGCTTCCTCTTCTTGTTTCCAAATGTATTTGACGTTGAAGGGCTAATTATTGACTTCCAAAAAACTTCCACTTTGAGTCTTTCATCATCTGGGGACGGTTGCACCAACTGTGTGTGTAAAATACAACATTGCCTAGTTTTGACGTAAATAGGCGCTAAGTTGCGCATTAAAACTTAGTTGAAGCGTAACTCTACATATGAACTACATATTTAAGCCTCTAACCTGGAGTAACAGTTGGATTAATAATAATAATAAACTGAACTGCAATCAATAAGCTCTTGTTTTACATTACATCAACATAATTTGTTAGCAGCTCTTCAACACAAACACAAGCTACATACAGGGGCTAATCGGTCCGTGTTGTGCATGTTAAATGAGAAATAAATGCCATTTCTTATGTTTTTTTTGTATCCGTTTTTATTTATTGATCCTTCAAATAGACTTTCTCGATGTTATGTACGTATAAAATAGTCTACCTATAATATTTTTCATGATTAAATAGTATCGTATTTAATTTTAACTTGTTTTTACCGTTATTACGTGAGGCAAAAGAAGTTAGGATGAAACACGGCTTTAAACTTCTGCTGCTATTGGATCATAGACGCATAGATGCGACTACGCATTATAGCTACTTTACAGAGCGTTTACGAACTGCTAGCTACTGTCGAAAGTCGAAGATCTGGAAAGTCAAAAGTATACGTATTTATTTCTTGTATGAAAGGCAGTTCAGCCTTAAGAACAAATGGTGTAACCAAATTAGCTACAAACTAGCTAGTAGTTACTAAGCCTCTATGTGGGGATTTTACGTTCCAGCTCATAAATGGTTGGTGCAACCCTACCCTGGAGATCTTAAACTATATTTAATTATGAATTGTGCGTGCATTGGATCAGTTTCACACTGATCACATAATACAGACACCAGTGGCAGTTTACATGCACTATATTGCAGTATGGAACCCGAAACTGAATCAAAGCTATTAGAAACTCACAAATAAGTACATTGATTTGGTACTTAGTAGTGAAATTTCGACATTTTTCCATCCCAAATTATGAATTTGGAATTATGTTAATTATTATGCAGTCATTGGGTCAGTTTGGTGCTTTATATGACTGCAGAATTAATAACCAGCATTATTTTATTACCTCGAATCTATGGTGCCCATAAAGAGACATGTTGATGGAAAAAATATAAGATGCGTAGGGGGAAAAAACATTTGAATGCCTTTGGGTTCTTTCGCAAAACCTTTGCATCCCCTCACTATGAACTCAAAAGGTTGGATGCAAAGTTTCTCGGGTGAACGCAGTAACATTGACTCTCAACTCATATCCTTCAATTTAACATCGTTGCTCAACAGTTGCTGCCACTTACAGCATGTCATTTTGACCCTTGAAATCACTGTCAGAGTGAATGCCCTTAATCACTGTACTTTCATCACTATCCTCTGACCGTATCATAGGTTGGACGTTGGAGGAATAGTTAAAGGAGAAGTTCACTTTTAAAAAAACTTTTGCTGATAATTTATTCACCCCCATGTCATCCAAGATGTCCATGTCTTTCTTTCTTCAGTCGAAAAGAAATTAAGGTTTTTGATGAAAACATTCCATGATTTTTCTCCATATAATGGACTTCAATGGGAACCAAACGGTTCAAGGTCCAAAAGACAGTTTCAGTGCAAACTGCTCAAAGGGCTTTAAATGATTCCAGATTAAAAAAAAAGTTTAAGTTTTATAAGCTCAAATTTGAAACTCATTTGGATCTTGAACCGTTTGGTTCCCATTGAAGTTCATTATATGGAGAAAAATGCTGGAATGTTTTCATCAAAAACCTTAATTTCTTTTCGACTGAAGAAAGAAAGACATGGACATCTTGGATGACATGGGGGTGAGTAAATTATCAGCAAAAGTTTTTTTTTTAAAAAAAGTGAACTACTCCTTTAAGTCCAAAATAATAAGCGTGTCTTTTACTCACTGTTGTGTCATTCTTAACCCGCATTGACTTCCATGGAATGTTGGATCTTCTATGGAACACAAATGAGCAACATTATAGCATGCACTGACGCACTATATTCCAAAACCTCTGACAGTCTTTTTGAAGCTTGAAAGTGCAGTCCCCATTTAATATACTTGCATGGAAACATTAATAATAATAATAAAAAACATTATTAATAATTACTAAGCAGCAAATCATCATACTAGAGTGATTTCTGAAGGATCATGTGACTGAAGACTGGAGTAATGATGCTAAAAATCACAGGAATAGATTACATGTTCAAATAGAAAACGGTTATTTCAAATTGCACCAATATTACTGTACTTCCCATGAGCATAAGAGGCTTCTTTTTAAAAATATTATTCCAAATTTGAACTGGTGGTGTATAGTAAATGCTCCAATAGCAAGAAAGTCATGCAGTTTTGACACACAAGGGTGAGTAAATGATGACAGAATTGTCTTTGCCATCAAGCTGGAACAGATGTTGCACATTATTGCATTGCTCTGCCACTGCTTTCTGAAAACATGGACGTGATTTTAGCTTCTTATGCAGCTTGACTGCACATTAATCTTAACTTGTGTATGAAAATCCCCACAACAGTGCTGTTGTCGAACATGGTTATTTTCTATAAGCATCATATATAATTCATTCAGCCTGCACCGCGGAGACAGACACCAGTTCACTAACATTAGCGCAGGCTTACAAGGCCATAACACACCCCTACACATCACACATCGCTGATATCTCTCAAAATGTTTAGTCATTTTGTCCACACTATTATTGAGTGAAAACAACTAAATGAAGCATTTCACATATACTTTGTAAACGGCTTTAAAGAGAGAACTGTACCATCACCGTATTAAAAAACAAAAACTCAACCCTTTAATTATGGAACATACGCTTGAAATATGTTTTCACAGTATGACGAACAAGCAAAGACGGTATATATGAATAACATCGCCACAGATATGATTGTAAAATGTGGTTTGAGTTTGCTGTGATTGAGTGGAAAGATGTTTTATTTGATCTCACTTCCACATTTCCTTCCATTGTTAAAGAGTCGGTGCTCTTGTTCTGGCACAAAGATTTTGTGTAAAGCAAGCCATGAGCTTTTTGGCAGTACAGCATTTGTGTGACCGTGTCACATCAAATGATGATGATAATGATAAATTACATAATGGCACCAGCTTCTCACGAATAAAGAAAACACTTAAACAGTATGTACATATATGAGTCTTTGCACAGTATTTTCATGTTGTATTATGTGATCTTACAGAGAAAAAAAATGGACTGGAAAAAAATATAAATGCTTTACAATTCTTTGTCTCATTAACTATTTGCACTTATTTAAAGACGTTTGTGTTCTGTGGCAAAATAGCCTTTCTCATGGTTTGGTTTGGCTAAAAAGCCAAGATATTGTACAATATGTACATGTGTTTTTATTCATATGCATATAAATATATGTCTATGTAATTTGCCTACACTTGTGTCTTTCTTGTGACTCTCTCGTTGATAAATCTTAAAGATTCATATCCATCTATACTAGATTATACTGTATATATATTTTAAATATAATACACAGACATGCATGTATTTATTTAAGAAATATGTGCATGTATTGTGTGTGTGTATATATATATATATATATATATATATATATATATATATATATATAAATCATTTATATTTATATTATATATAAATATTAATATTTCATATATAACTATTTTTTCTTAAATATATACATGCATGTGTGTCTATTTATATATACAAAATAATTATATGCAGTACACACCCATGTATCATGCAAACACAAACTTTTAATTTGGATGCGATTAATCACGATTAATCGTTGCCCAGCACTATATATATATATATATATATATATATATATATACACACACACACACACACACACACACACACACACACACACACAATTATTTATGGCCAAAAAGTTCTATATACATTCGGTTTAAACGGGGGTTGATTGCGATTTCACGTTTTTCATTTTAAATAGTTTGTAATGCTGTTGGTGCATGAACATTATCTGTAAAGTTGCAGCGCTGAAAGTTCAGTGTAAGCAGAGATATCGTCTTTTAAAAATCAAGAAGTATATTGCCTGCAAAAACGACTCGATTGGGACTACAGCTGGGTTTTAGGCATCACTAACCCACATATTTGCATCAACCCCTCCCTCCAGAATATGCAAAAAAGGGCATGCGCATACTTGCCATGCCATACCTAGAGTGTGTTGTGTTCACCTGCTGTCAGGTCTTCTGAGTTCGGGCTTCCCAAGGACGCTGTACTTCGACAACAATGGATACAATTTATGTTTGATTATGTTAATGAAGATCGTAATCTAGCTCTGTGTGCTGCGCAATTACGGAAGACAGCTTCCAGAATCTCCACGAGTTCAACGCTGGATTCAACAAGAAACTGTTACTAAAACATGATGAAGCAGTTCCGACTTTAAAACCAGAGGCAGCAGTTCTTGGGCCACAACCTGTAAGTAGGCTAAGACTTCATCATTTTAAATGCATTTGCATGTATAATTCTTGTGTTTTAGTTTTTTCAAATGCCAGCGCTG